CACCGTCTCATCACAACCGAGAACACCATCCCCACAGTGAAGCATTGTGGTGGCAGCATCATGCTGTGGGTAGTTTCCCTCATCAGGACTGGGAACTGGTCAGAAATTGAAGGAAATGATGGATCGCGCTAAATCCGGGAAATTCTTGTGGGAAACCTGTTTCAGTCTTCCAGAGATTTGAGGACTGGGACGAAGGTCACACCTTCCGGCGGACAGTGACCCTAACATCTGCTTAAAGCACAACTCAATGGTTAAGGGGAAACATTTAAATGTCTTGGAAGGCCAGTCGAAAGCCCCAGACTCAATCCAGTGAGAATCTTGGGATAGATTGCGGTACACCAGCGGAACCCATCCAACTTTAAGGAGCTGGAGCAGTTTTTTGCCTTGAAGATGTCACCAATCCAGTGGCTAGATGTGCCAATCTTGATAGAAACATAACCCCAGAACTTGCAGCTGTAATTGCCTGCAAAAGGTGGCTCTCAAAGTTTGCTTTGGTGGGCGAATAGTTTCTGCACTCTCAGTTCTGTTTTTTTTTGTCTTATTTCTTGTTGTTCACAATAAAAAATATTTTGGCAATCTTCAAGCTGTAGGCAGTTGTGTAAATCAAATGATACATAACCCCCATTTTGTATCATTTGATACAATGGGGGCGGTGAATGACTTTGGGCAAGCCACTGTATAGTCTACTACACTGCATTTCTTCAATTGGTACTTATTTTGACAAAACTTATGTCCGAGAATTACCTTTTGTCTTGACATGAGGCTTCAGAAAATAATCACCAACCCCTTTACTTTTCCCCCCTCCCCATTTTTGGGTTGTGTTACAGACAAAAAAACAAAACAAAAAGGCAGACATTGATTATCCCTTTGAGCAGGGTGAATGTCTTAATGGCCATCTATGAAATCAAACTGCTTAGGCAATCCCCGCCTTATCTGCTAGGCAATCCAGGCATCTATAAATCACTGCTAGGGGCAAATCCCCCGCCTTATGTTAGCTCTCTTGGTCACCATACAGCACCCACCCGTAGCCTCGCTCCACAGGTTAGATATCTCACTGGTCTTTCCCAAAGCCACACCCCTCCTTTGGCCCGCCATTCCTTCCAGTTCTCTCTGCTGCCAATGACTTGAAAACGAAAATTGCACAAATCTCTGAAGCTGGCAGACTCTTATCTTCCCTCAATAACTTTAAACGCATCAGTTGTCAGAGCACCTTACCGATCACTGCACCTGTACACAGCCCTCTGAATATTATCCCACCGCACTACCTCACCCTATATTGTTTTTATTTTGCTCTTTTGCACCCCATTATCTCTAATTTTGCACATAATCTCTTGCACATCTACATTTAGTGTTAATACTCATTGTAACTTATTCTGCACTATAAAGCCTATTTATTGGCCTTACCTCCCGAACTTGCTACATTTGCACACACTGTATATATTTTTTCTGTTTATTTCTTCTGACTTTATGTTTTTTTTTTTTACCCCATATGTACCTCTGTGTGTTTGTATTGCACACTTTGCTTTATCTTGGGCCCGGGCCAGTTGTAAATAGAAACCTTTTCTCAACTGGGTTACCTGGGTTTAAAAAAAGGTGAAAAAAAAAAATAAAAAATAAAAAAGACACTTTGATGGTTAAAAAACAAAACCCCAGTCACAACAAAAAACGGCATCCCTTCCCAACTCAGTTGCCCGGGAAAAGGGTGGAAAAAACCCCTCGGGATTTTTTACCAGAGGCCAATTGGATTTAAAAAAAACCATTACAGAGTTTTTAAAGGTTGGTAGGAGAAAAATGAGGTGGGGTCAACAACAAAGTACTACCAAATCTAACCCTAAATGACGAGTGAAAAGAAAACCCGTAACAAATACAAATATTCAAAACATGCATCCCCTTTCAAAAAGGCCTAAGTAAAACTGCAAAAAATGTTTTCAAAGAAATGAAATTTTTGTCCTGAATCATGCATTATGTTTTGGGGCAATCCAAAACAAACCCCAAACCTGAGTACCACTCCCTTCAAATTTTCAAACTTGTTGGGGCAAACTTGGTTCATTTATGGGGAGCTTGTCCCCCGGCAAAAACTACATTTTTTGGGGGGGGTAAAAGAACAAAAAGATTTTAACACAGACAAAAACCCAAGGAAAACCTGGTTTTCCCTCTGCTTTTCCAAAAACCCGGGGGAAAAAATTTCCCTTTTTAAGCGGACAATAACCCCAAAACAAGGCCAAAAATCACTGGGGTTTTTCTTCCAAGACGGGATTGAATATTCCCCAGTGGCCTAGTTACAGCTGACTTAAATAAGATTGAAAATTTTATAGCAAGATTTTGCGATCAACAACCAACTTAACAAGCTTGAAGAATTTTTTAAAGAATAATGTGCAAATATTGTACAATCCAGGTGTGCAATGCTCTTAGAGACTTACCCAGAAAAACTCAGCTGTAATCGCTGACGAAGGTGATTGTAACACGCATTGACTCAAAGGTGTGAATACTTACAGTTGAAGTCGGAACTTTACATACACCTTATCCAAATACATTTAAGCTCAGTTTTTCCACAATTCCTGACATTTAATCCTAGTAAAAATTTCCCGGTCTTAGGTAAGTTAGGATCACCAACTTTATTTTAAGAATGTGAAATGTCAGAATAATAGTAGAGAGAATGATTTATTTAAGCTTTTATTTCTTTCATCACATTCCCCAGTGGGTCAGAAGTTTACATACACTCAATTAGTATTGGTAGCATTGCCTTTAAATTGTTTAACTTGGGTCAAATGTTTTGGGTAGCCTTCCACAAGCTTCCCACAATAAGTTGGGTGAATTTGGCCCATTCCTCCTGACAGAGCTGGGGTAACTGAGTCAGGTTTGTAGGCCTCCTTGCTCGTATACGCTTTTTCAGTTCTGCCCACATATTTTCTATAGGATTGAGGTCAGGGCTTTGTGATGGCCACTCCAATACCTTGACTTTGTTGTTCTTAAGCCATTTTCCACAACTTTGGAAGTATGCTTGGGGTCATTGTCCTTTTGGAAGAACCATTTGCGACCAAGTTTAAATTCCTGGCTGATGTCTTGAGATGTTATTTCAATATATCCACATAATTTTCCTTCCTCATGATGCCATCTATTTTGTGAAGTGCACCAGTCCCTCCTGCAGCAAAGCACCCCCACAGCATGATGCTTGCCACCCCCATTCTTCACGGTTGTATGGTGTTCTTCGGCTTGCAAGCATCCCCCTTCTTCCAGCAAAAACATAACAATGTTCATTATGGCCAAACAGTTCCATTTTGTTTCATCAGACCAGAGGACATTTCTCAAAAAGTACGATCTTTGTCCCCATGTGCAGTTGCAAACCGTAGTTCTGGGTTTTTTATGGCGGTTTTGGAGCAGTGGCTTCTTCCTTGCTGAGCGGGCCTTTCAGGTTATGTCTGGCCCCGTGTAGCTCAGTTGGTAGAGCATGGCGCTTCAACGCCAGGGTTGTGGGTTCGATTCCCCCGGGGGGCCCAGATGAAAATGTAAAGCACTCACTAACTGTAAAGTCGCTCTGGATAAGAGCGTCTTCTAAAATGTGTATGTAAATGTCGATATAGGACTTGTTTTACTGTGGATATAGATAGTTGTTTTACCTGTTTCCTATAGCATTTTCACAAGGTCCTTTGCTGTTTTTCTGGGATTGATTTTCACTTTTCGCACCAAAGTTTCATTAATCTCTAGGAGACAGAACGCGTCTCCTTCCTGAGCGGTGTGAGGTGGTGGGCCAGGTGTTTTATTCCCCCAAAATTTTTGTACAGATGAAAATGGTACCTTCAGGGGTTTGGAAATTTCTCCCCGGGGAACCCAATTTTTGAGGTCTAAATTTTTTTTCGAGGGTTTGGGGCT